GGTATTCAGGTTTGGCTGGAGGCGGCTGGCAGTGTCAACATCCAGAGCATACCCTTGGCCCAGGTTGGGCAAGGCTAACAGACATTGCATTAGTCTCCTTGCATTGTGGTGAATAAATCTTTCAATAAGCCACTTGTGAAGGCAGGACGCCCACTGGGGCTCAGGGTTCAGCGCCAGATACTGCCTGGGAGGCTCCGCTGATCCTGCGCTCTGGTGAGGCTGGCAGTGGCAGTAGCAGAGGACACAGATTGGCTGGGCCCACTCAGGCTCCTGTCAGCCACCCTCCTGGGAGAGTCTCCCCCGTGGTCCAGGGGTCCCCCTGAGGCCCACTCCCTACGCATCTGACTTAGAGAAAGTGTCCAGCCCCGTGTGTCATTAACTTACAGTGTTGAGGTGAGGGCTGTAACTGATTCAGGCCATAACACATAAGCACATGTGTCTATGTCCTGATGACGGTCTAGAATCCTGGGGTCTTTCCAGTCAAGCCCCACTCCAGGGCCCATGTCTGTGCTCGGCCCTCCCAGCTGAGAAGTGCCTCCTGCCTGCCCGGCCATCCCCAGGGCTCAGAGCCACAATGGTCCCGCCTCCTGGGGCTGGCACTGCCCCAGCTGAGCCTGGAGAGGCGAGGAGACTTTCAGAAAATACATTTTGTCTTCTTGCTGCCGGTAAGAGTTCATGGTCTCAGTGCTGCCGCTGCGGCCACAGTCACAGGTGAGACCCCAGCAGCCCGCCCACAGGGCGCCTCCCAGGCTGCCGCGGCTCGGCCCAGTCCCTTTGAAGACCGCACTCCGGCTTGTGCTTCATAAACACGCTGTCCTCCTCCGCCCTTTCCTTCTGGTTTTCTCTTGCCCTCTCCCTGCCCGCAAGTCAGACGCACACACATGGATACCCATACAACATGTGCATGCACATACGTGATTTTCCATCACACAGCACAGTGATTTCTGTCAGTCCCGTCCTCAGAGGGGACCCCTGCTGTTTGAAAGGCTTGCCTGGATTTACAGCTGTCACTTTTCCTGCTTCTAAAACTGGAGTATGGGAGCACCTGGCCCCCAGCTCACTCCTGCTTTTAGTTTCACCAGGCCAACAGGGGAGTGACACTGCTCTGCTCATTTACCACTCACCATCCCAGCAGAGCGCTTTGAGGGTCCCTATGGAATGGGGGGGGGGGTGTCTGCCATGGCCAGCCCTGGGGGAAACCCTAACCCTAAATCTCATGCTTGCTGCTTCGCCGTGTCTTTCGCTGACCGGGTGTGGAGAATCACAGGGGTCAGAGCTGCCAGGGACCTAGTACAGCCTCCTCTTGGGCTGGGGACAGAGTCCAGGGCAAGTGGGGAGCTCCTGCAGCATGGTCACAGTGGAGACGGAACTTGCGGGCTTTCTGCCTGGCTGTTCACAGCTCCTTGGGTGTGCTGGTGGGGCCCATGCGCCACTGACCCTCAGCTGATGGTCCTGTCCCTTGGTGCTGTGTTTGGCAAGGAGGAGACCCCTCTGTGCACACAGTAGGTGCTCTGAGTGTATTGTTGGATACGGGTCATACATGACAGATGAGAGGAAATGGCACACACTGTCACATGTGCCTGGTGTCCCAGGAAGAAGGGCAGATTTGCACTGGCTGCCTTTCTGGGAAGAAGTGACTTGCTGTTTTTTTTTTTTTAAATGAAAAATGTGTAGGCCGAAGGCTTTGATGGGGGAGGAGAGCCAGGGTTGCCTGCGGCCTGAGTCCATGTCTGTGTTTGGTGCGGAATTTGCCTTAGGTTGCCTGAGATGGCCTGATAGGAAGGGGCTGGCTGGGAGGAAGGCTTTGTTTGCCTGTGGTATGTAGGGATGCTGCTCACGGGGCTGCCAGCGATGCCCTGCGACCAGCTCAGCTCACAGCTGCAAGTCTCTGCTCCCTTCCCAGAGGACTTGTTGCAGTGCTCATTGGCAGGGCATTGTCAGGCCTTTCCTGAGAACATGGGACCTGTCCTTGCCACGTGGATGTTGGCACCTGGTTCAGGCCAGCTCAGGCTGGCTGGCAGAGACAGCCACCCTTCCAGATGTCATTGCTTGAGAAAGAAAGATGTGCAAAGCCCTGGCTCAGAGATATCCCCCACCACCCCTTGTCCCACGGAGGGTGCATTTGAGAAATCCCCTTTCCTGGGCCATGGAGCCGGGGGCAAGGAGCCTGGTAGGGGCGCTCACCTCTGGCAGGAGCCTCTGAAGGAGGAGCCCCGGGGCAGGTTGGGCCCCTCCTGCTGCACGGTGACCACTGCTGCCGCCTTGGGCACCCGCTCACGGGTAGGATTCACAGGTGTGTGTGTGAGGATGAAGCTTCTAGCCTCTGGACTTCCAGGAATGAATGTAGACCCCAGCACTGTCCTGCCCACGGCCCCCAGGCTGCCCTAAGGAGAGCACCGATGTGAGCAGCGTGGGCCTTCTACTGGCCCCCCAAACTTCGGCCATTGTTGTGCTGTCACACTTCCCAAATGACCCCAACGGCTGGGGCTGGACTGGGTAGAAGCAGGGGCTTCTGCTGGCTCTCCCACATAGGGGTGGGGACCCAAGCTTTCGTGTCACCAGATGTGTCAGTGGTAAGATGGATTGGAAGTGGAATAGCCAGGGCTTGAACCCACGCTTGTGAGCACTGCAAACCACGGCTTTACCTACTGTGCTACCACCCTTGACACCTTTGTCCCATCAGACTTTTTTTCCTTGCTGAAATCAAAAACAACAACATGGAATGGGAAAGAACGTGATCCCCTCCCCTTCTTATTCTGTTTCAATCCTGGCGTTAAGTGTTGAGGGGTGCCAGGGACCGTATCTGCTTCTTCCTGCACTTGGGGAATGCAGACAAAAGAAGACAGGGGAGGCCCAGGCACCCGTAGTGCCCCCTGGCCATGCATACTGTCAGCCCTGCAGTGCCACACACACTCACTTCCTGAAGAGCCTGTCCTTGTGCCTCACCCTCCACTCCTCACGCCCCTATTAGTGCATGTCAGTCATTGTCATGTGTGAGTGCTGCCAGGCAGGGGCTGGTCTCACTCACTGCGGGCCTTCCCAGGGCACTCAGCCCCTCTCATCCCTGCGTGGACTCAGCACACAGTGAGAAGCAGCCGGATGAAAGCAGTGTTCCAGGGGCTTTTGTCTGAGTCCAACATGGTCCCACCAAGTGATGCAGAATGAGGCAGCCTCATCTGCACACAGATGAGATCCTGGAGAAGGGGCCTGGGTGGCTGGCTCCCAAGGGCAGCTGTGCCAGCAGGAGAGGCGGGCAGGTCTCTGCCAGCCTCTCTGATTTCCCAAACAGGGTTTCGGATGTGCCAGTCTCTTCTTCCTGGGGCAGGGGTGAGTTACCACAGGAATGAAGCTCCCAATGGCCCGGACTTTGCAGAGACGTGGTTGCCACAGCTGGCCCATTTTGCCCGCCCCCCTCCCATTTCACCTGCGGGACACTGAGGCGCAGAGGGAAGGACCCCTTGTGGTCAGTCACCCCAGGGCTCTGTCCTTGAGGTTCACTTGTGTGCACAGCTCGCAGGGGCCACCCGGTCCTCTCTCCACATAGTCAAAAGAGGGAGATGTGAAATGGCAGGCCGAAATGGGCGCTTTATACACGTTCTAGAGCTCTGTTCAGTCTTGCATCCTGGGTGGGTTTTTATTTTATTTTTTCTGCCTTCATAGCCAGTGCCAAGTAGTGGGGAGGAGAAGCTGATGTGAGAACAGCGAAGGAACACGGTTTCCTCCGGGGTTTTAATCTGTGAGCACGGCAGGCTGGTGGAGACGGCTCCGGATCGCGGGCAGATCCTGCCCAGAGCCCTCGGTGGGACGTCTCGGAGCAGGCGGGACCCTGGCGAGGGCACGGAGCAAACAGGGCAGCGGTTACCCTTGGGATTTAGGGTACCTTGGCTAAGAGCTGGAGCGACTTCTGCACGTTTCCTCAGGCCCAGCCTCCCCGGTTGCCTGACAGCACCTGCAGCTAGAGCCAGGCAGGGAAGCCAGCGGTTCCCCTACTGTACCCGGAGGCATGGCGAGGTGCTCCGGCGCCCTAAACGCTTGCACCCGGGAAGCGCGGTCGGCGCGGCCAGGCCCTGCCCTCTAGCGGGCCCGAGAGGCACCGCAGCCGTGTCCGGTTAAAGCCACCACCGGCGCCCGCGCTGCGCGTCCAGATGCGCACGGTCCGCAGCCGGCGCCCGGCGAGGCTAACGACCAGGGGTTTCCCGCCCAGCCCGCGGAGCCCCGTGCCCGGCGCCCGCCGACAACGACACCACCCGCAGCCCTTCCCAGCCGGGAGCACACGTCTTTTTGGCATCCACTTCCTGCATTGCCAACTCGAGGGCAGCCCTGTGGACTCGGAGCAGGTAGCTGGGTCCTGCACACAGGGACTGGAGTGCGGGTGGTGGTGCGCGGGGTGCCTCAAGAGGACCTTCTGGGACCGAGACGGGGAGCCTTGGCTGTCGGGCCGCCGAGGTATGCCGGCTGTCTGCCTCCGAGGCAGGAACCGCACCGGGGCGTCCGGATCCACTGTGTGGACTCCGTGGGCTTCCGGAAGCCGGCCGGGGTCCCAGGGTCTTTCAGGTCCAGGGTGGTGGCTCCTGGGGGAAGTTCAGGGCATGGGGGCCCGGTGTCTTGGAACCAGAGATCTCGAGCTAGGAAAGGAGGTGTGCCAGAAGGGCGGTTGGTGTGAGGGTCCCAAAGGCAGTGGCCTGAGGACTGCCGGGGGAGGTGGTCGCAGTGGGGGTCCCAGTCCCTGGGCCAACAGCTGATTAAGACACCCCCTCCCCCATGGAAGCAGCTGAACTCCTCCAAGGAAGGGGCGCGGGTCTCTGAAGCTTCCCCAGTGAGCTTTGGGGACAGCGACTGCTCCCTGACCGTCCGATAATGGGGGACATGTCGGCCCATGCACCCACCGCCCTCTCACAGCCCTCCTGGTTTGTTGCAGGGCAGAATCCAACAGGGCGGCCACCGGGTCTCCAAGAGTGCGCCCTGAGCGCCCCAGGCACGTGGGGGCTGCGTGGCGGGCCCCGCCCCACAGCACCGCGCCTTAAAGGGCCGGGATTTGCGGGGGCGCAGGTTGGCTGCTGCAGGTATGGAGGGCATTCTGACAGCCAACTGGAGCACAGCCGAGGCAGCAAGCACCGGACCACCGGGGACCGAGGGCAACCGCACGGCGGGGCCACCGCGACGGAACGAGGCCTTGGCGCGCGTGGAGGTGGCCGTGCTGTGCCTCATCCTCTTCCTGGCACTAAGCGGCAATGCGTGTGTGCTGCTGGCGCTGCGCACCACGCGCCACAAGCACTCGCGCCTCTTTTTCTTCATGAAGCACCTAAGCATTGCGGACCTGGTGGTGGCCGTGTTCCAGGTGCTGCCGCAGCTCCTGTGGGACATTACTTTCCGTTTCTACGGGCCTGACTTGCTGTGCCGCCTGGTCAAGTACCTGCAGGTGGTCGGCATGTTCGCCTCCACCTACATGCTGCTGCTCATGTCGCTAGACCGCTGCCTGGCCATCTGCCGGCCACTGCGTGTGCTGCGCCGCCGCACCGACCGCCTGGCCGTGCTCGCCACGTGGCTCGGCTGCCTGGTGGCCAGCGCCCCACAGGTGCACATCTTCTCGCTGCGCGAGGTGGCGGAGGGCGTTTTCGACTGCTGGGCCGTCTTCATCCAGCCCTGGGGGCCCAAGGCCTACGTCACATGGATCACGCTGGCCGTGTACATCGTGCCGGTCATCGTGCTGGCGGCCTGCTATGGCCTCATCAGCTTCAAGATCTGGCAGAACCTGCGCCTCAAGACGCTGGCGGCCGCAGCCGCCCAGGAGCCCGAGGGGGTGGTGGCGGGCGCAGGGCGCGCGGCTCTGGCGCGGGTCAGCAGCGTCAAGCTCATCTCCAAGGCCAAGATCCGCACGGTCAAGATGACCTTCATCATCGTACTCGCCTTCATTGTGTGCTGGACGCCATTCTTCTTCGTGCAGATGTGGAGCGTGTGGGACGCGGACGCGCCCAAGGAAGGTAGCGCGCACGGGGAGGAGGGCGCTATTGGGCGGGGCCAGCAGGGTTCCCTGAGCCCCCCCTTACTCTACCAGTCCCTGGCCAGTGACCTTTTGTCAATCAACTGAGCCTCTACTTACCCATCTGTAAAGTGGCAGGGAGGTTTCCCGCCCTGCCTTGTTCTGCTTCAAGTTCTCTGAGTGGAGCTGGCACCAGCAGCCAGGGACTGGGAGCAGAGGGTCTAGCTCAGAGCTGGGAAGAGGCCTGCCGGGTACTCTGGAGGAGGAACACAGCCCAGGCTAGCTCAGGGGTGGGTTGATGGCCTTGGAGCTGGGAGCGTGGGGTAAGCTGGGCACCCGGGGCGGCACTGCTTCCGGCTGGGGGAAGGAAGAGAGCCACCCACGCACTGGGGAGCTGGTGATCCCTGGGGGTGGGGCCGAGGGCAGGGTGCTCAGTGAGGCCTCTGTCTAGGTCTTGGGCCATGTCGGAAGGCCGAGAGGCAGGGCTCTAATAGCTGACAGGGCGGTGGGGCAGACAGCATGGCTTAAACTGGTGCCCGTGACTGACACTGGGCAGTACCGCCATCCCCCATGAACCCGGGGTTGCAGGCAACTTCTCCTGGACCATGCCCGTGCCAGTAGCTCATCTGGGAAGAGCAGGGGTGGCCAATGACTCACCTGTTTGTTGGAGGGTACCCCATCCATGTCCATCCCAGAAGGATGGCGTCTGGCTTTGCTCTGCGTCCTGCAGGGAATGGTAGTGCCTACCTCATGGGGCCTCCCAGGGAGCTGAGTGGCAGCCTTGGTGGCCAGACCACATGTCGTTCAGTGTCTGTGAGGCACAGCACCCACAGTGGCACAGGGAGAGGACTGAGCAAAACCCAGCCTGGTGCCATGTGCATCCCAAGCCATACCCTGCAGATAGGGAGCCATTGCCCAGAGGAGGGACCAGGTCTCACAGAGGAGGCAACAGTGGAGCAGCAGCTGGTGCTGGGGGCCACGGGCTGGGTAGGAGCTAGGGGCTGAGGGTGTTTCCTGGTCAGACCGAGCCTAGAGGAGCTTGGCCACCACTGCTAAGGAGGAGAACAGTGCCATGGAGAGCAGGTGTGCCACGCCCTCTGCCTGCCTAGCTGTGGCACAGAGGGTCAGGGGTCTTTGTATGCCCCTTGGCTTTGGCTCATAAAACAAGAGTGGCATTGGGATTCAGTCATTCAGTAGATAAGCCAGCTCCTCCACTACCCCCCCCCCGGTCTCTGCTATGGGGGGGGCTTCTCCTCTCTCCCCTTCTGTCCTCTCCCCATGGGGCTGCGTGTGGTCCAGCCTCCTTTCCAGGCTGTCACTTCTCACTTCCAGTCCTCCCCTAGGGGACACTGCGTGAGCCACACTCTTGTGATAATCCCATAGTTTCTATGCTTTATTTTAAAGATTTATTATTATTTTTTAAGCTGGAAAGTCAGATATACAGAGAGGAGGAGAGACAGAGGAAAAGCTTTCCATCTGCTGATTCACTCCCCAAGTGACCGCAATGGCCAGAGCTGAGAGCCGATCCAAAGCCAGGACCATCCTCCAGGCCTCCCATATGGACTCAGGGTCTCAAGGATTTGGGGCATCCTCAACTGCTTTCCCAGGCCACAGGTAGGGAGCTGGATGGGAAGCGGGGCTACCAGGACACGAACCAGCGCCCATATGAGATCCTGGCACATGCAAGGTGAGGATTTTAGCCACTATGCTATTGCGCCAGGCCCTCTACCTATCTCAATTGTACCAGTTCTTCCTCAAACTATCTACCTGGACCTATGCAGAAATCATGTGGTGCTGGAGCACCTGATGGGGGACCCCAGGGGAGCAGAGATGAGGTCCCGAGCTCGGACCACAGCCTCTCCCAGCCCTTGGCTTCAGGGCTGCTGCTGGAGTCAGCATGGACGTGGAGAAGCTCGGGGAGGGGGTGAGGGTTGGTCAGGGAGTCAGCACAGACCCCAGGTCAGTGCTTAATGAGGACCAGCAGTCCCGGGACCAGGGGCTGGCAGCGCTGGTAGCACCATGGTGGCCACAGGGGGAGCTTTCTCGGTGGCAGGGCAGTAGGGGCCACAGGCACCTTCGTCATACCAACCCCAGGTGGGTGGGGCAGCTCAGCAGTGACCCGGGATCCAGCTGACAGGTGAGCCAGTGGCATCGCCCCATAACTCATTGTAAACCCCAGTTCCTCTTCCTCTGTCCTCTGAGGGTGTCTCCTGTGTGGTTTTAGCATTCATCTAACTCTAAGAGGAAAATCCAGGGCATGCGGCGTGATGAGCTGGGTGACACGGCACCAGAAGGCAGCAGCAGCAAGGTCCCATGTGTCCAGGTGGGGCCCTTCTCAGCAACCTCAGCAGAAGGACTTTCCAAGTGTTTGTGCTGTTGGCCCCGTGAGGGAGGGAGGCTGCTGTGGTCATGGCAGCGATGTGTACCATCAATCATGTCCACTGCCACAGCTTGGTCACTGGCCTTTGCCCTGGGCCCGGGGCGGGGTGGTGGGGAAGGATTGTAACTGTGGGGGAAGGTGGTAGGATTCAGGGTGAGACTGTGTGGAGTGTGGCCCCACGGAAATCCTGGCCTAGCAAGGTGGGGCGGGGAAAGCGGGAGCAGCCAGGTGGGCAGGTGCTGAGCTCACAGCCATGCAGGCTGGAGGGTCGTGCCATTCTCTGTCTCCTGGCAGCCGGGGGAACACCTCTCGGTGAACATGCCAGTCTCATGCTTTGGACACGTGCCCCCTGGTCTCTCATAGCAGACTCTTTCCTCTCCTCCTCACCAGTGATCAAGGCAATGGCCTGCCCAGGGAGAAGAGTGTGAGGGCGGGGTCACACGGCCACTGCGAGGCCCCGAGGATACTCCCCTGGCTGGCCTGGGCTGGGAGCCTGCTCTGGCCCTTTCTGGTGCGTGATCTTGAGCAAGTGTCTTCCCCTCTATGATCCTCTGTGTCCACTCTGAAGGCTAAGGTGGCTGGAGAGTCAGCCCTGGGGGGCTGTGAGGGCACGATGGTATGGCCCTTGTCCCCAACCTCCCCTTCTCTGGTCAATACTTTGAAGCTTGGGTTTGACTTTAAGACTCTGAGTGCCTGAGGATGTGGGTGTATGGGTGGCAGATAGAAGCAGAGTCCACTGGAAGAGGGGAAGGAGGGCTAAGTTCCCCACTGGTAACACAAACCTGGGGCAGGTGGCAGCCAGACACCCACTGGGTGTTGGGCTGGGAGGCAGGTGGCCCTGCCTGGGGCAGGGAGGGCTGGTGGACTAGAGACCCCCGATGGCCTGTGCCCCTCCCCTTTCCTTCCCTTCCCTGCACTGTGTTGCCTCAAGTAGAGTAGCTGATTGCGGGAGCCACTGGGACAGGCCCTGGTGGGAGTGAATCCCTGCTCTGCGGCTGGCTGGCAGTCAGGAAGTTGGCATGCTGGCCTGAGTCAGCTCTGGGAGTGCTTGGAGCTCCTGGCCAACGTGTGTATTTGCTCATGGTCTCTGCCCCCCGGTGACCTCACCCCCAGCTCCCACTCTCCCCACGCTGTATTTGACTAATCTTTTGAAGAAAAAAAAAAAAACCACCATCTGCTGGGTGAAGCTCTGCTCTGTGTTTTTCCCGTCTGCTGGGTGCCCAGTGGGATGGGGGTTGGGAAAGACTGGGACCCAGCGACGATCAGGCCGCCCTGCCCTGTCCCGATCCTTTGTCTAAGTCAGGTGCTGCTGGCCGGAGCCTCAGCTCCTGGGAGCAGTGGCAAGAGCCCCCTCCTGTGGCCTGGACTGTGGCCACCAGTGGGACTTGGGGTGTCTCTGGTGTTTAAGCCAGGTGTGAGCCCCCGGAGCTCTTCCACAGGCCTCCTGGACTGCATTCCCCAGGCTGGTGTTTTCCCAGGGGTGTTCTGCAGCCGTAGGAGTAGGGGGTCTCCTGGGTGCTGTGACAGCTTGTCCCAGCCCTGCCCCCGGTGCAGAGGCAGAGCTCAGCACCCTCTTTGGCCCCGACACCCAGTGTCCTGCTGATAGCCCCGCCCTCCCGTGGCTCTGGGCTCAGTGCTGTGTCTCTTGTGCTCCTCCCCCTGTCACCCACTGTCACCCTGGCTGCACATGGGTCGCATGCCAGGTCTTTCACTACCTGGAGGGCAGGTTTTCGACTCTGCCACTCTCCATGCTGTTGGCTGAGCAGTCTATGTTGAGCACGTATGTGTGTGTACGTGCATGTGTGTGCTTGTGGTATGTATGTGGGGTGTGCACATGTGTCTACATGTGGGGGTGTGTAAGTATGTATGCGTGCATGTGGGGGGTATGCATGTGTCTTGTGAGGCGAGGCCATCCTGTGCATTGCAGAAAGATCAGCCGCACCCCTGGTCTCTGCTTGGGGCAGGTCGCTGTCACCTTCCTGCCGGCTCTGCCCCTCTGAAAATATCCCCAAGATACTGCCAAAGGTTCCCGGAGGGGCAGACTTGCTGCTGGTTGGGGAGCTCTGGTTTGGGGCTGCGGTCTGCCCGATAGCTGGCACGTCAGCACGCCCTTGTCGTCTCCGCCCTCGGCTCTGGGCTCTGGGTTCTGGCTGCTCACCCCCACCCAGGGTCGGATGGCGCCCTGGGCTGATGGTGCAGGTTCCGTCACCCGTGTCTTTGCCGCTTAGCAGCTGTCCTGATGCTTTCCCCGTCCGTCTGCCTCTGCCATGGAGACGCAACCCAAAAGCCAAGTCCCCTGTGGGGAGTGCCTGCCCCGTCTGCCACTGTGGTCTGTGGGCTCAGCACCTTCTGCTGTGCCCCTCTGGGCTCCCCACCCAGAGATTCCTGGAAGGGCGGATGGTCTGCTGCAGTCCTTCTCCCGGGCAGGAGAGGGCGCCTGGAGGCCTCGCAGCCGAGGGGAAGGAGACGGGGAGGGAGGGGCCAGGCTGGTGAGAGTCCTGGGTGAGCCCACAGACCCCCATCTCGCCAGAGGACAGCGGTACTGGTCCTGCGCGGAGTCCCTGGGTGCTAAGCGAGGAGCATGTCGGGTGCTGGACCCAGAGTGCAGGGGCAGAGGGCCTTGGACATCCTGCAAGGAGAAGGCAGCAGGTGTAAGGGGGAGGGTCCTAGCCCCTGCTCTAAGGGTGCCACAGCTGGTCCTGGGGAGGGGTTTCACTGAGGAGTAGCCCCATGTGATTCCTGACCTCAGGCTGCCTATGGGCAGTCTCTGCCAGCACCTCCTTGTGTGCCCTGCTGGGAGTTGGTGCTTCTGCTCTGTTAGCCCAGGGTGTCCGTCAGCACCAGGGTTGTCGCACTCGTGCCCTCACCCTTTTCTCCCCCTTTCTCCCGTCTGAACATGAGCTGCACTTGGGTCCCTGTCCTGGGGCAGGGAGCTGGTCTTGGCGCTTCTCCTGCATGCTGGTGGCAGGGGTGACGGGAGCCAGACTTCCTGCGGCTGCAGTCCTGCTGCGCACAGCACGGTTCGAGTCACCAGTCACCACTGGCAGCCAGAGACCAGGCCATGTCAGGATGCCCAGGAGTCACGGGCAAGTTGATTCTGGAGAAAAAGCAGTCAGGGTTTCCAAGAGACAGCAGCCTCTGCAAAGGGCCTTGAAGGACGAGCAGGCGTCTGCTGGTGCGATGCACGCACACCTACTGTGTGCAGACCCTGGGCAGTCTGTTCTTCCCTTCACTCCCCGTGGACTGCAGCCAGCGACGAGACGATTCAGCAACCATGGGGTGACTGAGAAAATGCAGGTTCTCTGCCAGCAGGTGGAGAGTGATTCCCCGGGAGCCTGAGGTGTGGGCAGGCGCAGCGGTGCCGTCTCTGCGATGCTGGGCCGCTGCCCACTGAGCGCGCTATGAGTAGCAAAACTTTTGTGTGTTCTTTTACTAAGATGCATTGTGTGTGTGTAAGACCTGGTATGTAAGATCTGTTGTGCATATGTGCACTGTAACACCTACTGTGTCCATGTGTAAGCCCTACTGTGTGGACACATAAAAGACCCACTGTGCGTGCGCGCCCTGTGTTGGCTGCCAGGCCCCACCATCCCTTGGAGAGTGGGGAGGGTCTGGCCTCCCTTTTGGCGGAGTGCCGGTGCCTGAGGCCCAGCCCCGGGAGGCTGGCACGTCCAGCAGCTCCTGCCCTCCTGGCCGTCTCTGCGACGGTCACCTCTGTGAGTGTGAGGAAATGAGGTAGTGAAGGTTGTAGGTTTTGGTTCTTTGGAGACAAGGTGCCCATGATGTGTGTTATGATTCAAGCTTCCCATGACCATGCGCTAAAAGTCGCTTTTATTGTTGTTTTTAGAGATGTTAGAGTTAGAGATAGGGTGGTCTTCCAGGTACTGGTTCATTGCCCTGACAGCCTTCGGCTGTAACCTGCTTCCCAAGAGAGCTGGGTGGCAGTGAGGGGCCTCCCTCTGTGGTGTGGCTGGGGGAAGGGGCAGCCTTGTGGTCACCCGGCTGGCAGCAGGCTGTGCCCAGGGTTTATGTGGGGGACGTGGGGCTGCCTCAGGACAGCACAGCACATGGTGGCATGTTGGCAGGAGGGAGGGGGCAGCCTTGCGGTGACCTGGCTGGCAGCAACCCTGTGCCCAGGGTTTGTGTGGGCGACGTGGGGCTGCCTTGGGACAGCACAGCCATTAGGCCACAGCCACCTGCCCTGCAGCTGTTCAGGGCTAATTTGAGCCTGCTGGGGGAGGGGACAGCTGGGAAGGCTGAGCCCGGGGGTGTGAGTGAGGTGGGAGGGCGATGGGCCTGGTGTACCCCATCTGTCCCTGCATGCCCTGGCTTCCCCCACCACCAGCAGGTTCTTGTCTCCTGGGTGCAGAGTTAAGCCAGTCTGCTGGGTCCCTGCCCCACTGCTATGGGTAGGATGTAGGGTCAGACCCGGAGCCTTGAGGCTTGTCAGCTTGGCCAAGCTCTGCAGGGCAGCCCTGGTGTGGGCCCAGGGCCCAGCCTTTTAACCTTTGCACTGAGTGGCCCTGGGGCCTCTGGCTCCCTGTGATCAGAGATGGTGCCTCGGCTGGGAGCAGGTGGCACCAGCTGGCTGGTGGCTGGGGAGCTGAGTGCCTGGGTCTGGAGGGAGGTGAAGACAGTGCTCGTGAGCCTGTCAGGCTCAGCATGTAGGCAGCGGCCAGATCTGCTGAGCCTCAGCCCATGGCCTGAGAACACTGCCTGCAGGCATGTACATTTTGCGAGGAAGCAGTGGGCACGGTTAGGGCACCTTCTACATGGCGCAGCACCCAGATGGCAGGTGGCCCTGGTGCTGGAAGCTGGAATATGGCGAGCCAGAGAGAGAGGGTAGCTTCTCCCAGCTGTGAGGGCCAGGCTGGCGGATAAGCCAGGATTGGAGATATTGGCATTTTGCTTCTGGTCTGGAGTCTAAGTGTGCAGGTAGGGGCATGTGCCTGCATGCTCTGCCACATGGCGCTGAAGTCAGCTGGCAGCCCTGGGGAGCAGCACCTCCTGGGTGTCTAACTTACCAGGAAGAGGTCAATTGTGTTTGCTGAGTGCTGCCTGGCTCCTTGGGAATCCCGGTGGCTTTCTGCCCCCAGATGGGCCCATGTCCAAAGCCAGGCTGGAATGGAATCGGCCACTTTAACTCCCTGTTACCTGTGGGGTGAAGGTCATACAGTCGGCATTGCAGATCCCTCACTGCCCACTCCCCGCGTTGCTGTGGCCTCTGCAGTGCCCCGGGTACAGTTAGCACCCTCCCTAACCCTCAGCCTCTATTCCTCAGCTGCCTCCTCTGTCTGACCCTCACACACAGCCCCAAGCAGCGCAGATGCTCTGGTGTCACCTCCTGCGAATCCTTAAGGACCCTGCCCCACAGTCTGTTTCCTGGCATGAGGTGCTGCCAGCAGCCAGTGCTGATTGGGCACTTACTGTGTCCCTGGTCCCCTCAGGCTCCATGACACCCCCACCCTGTTCCCATTGACAGTGTGAGCATCTGAGGTTCACACAGGTGCAGGAGGCAGCCTGTGGTAGGCCTGGTAGCTTCCAGATGCTACTCTCGGGCTCCCTGAGTGTCTGTCCCTTGTTGGGTGATGGACTGGCCAGGTGTACCTGTGAGGGAAGTCCACGGTCGGGAGGGGAAGCTTTGTGTGGGAAACCATAGGGTGGCAGTTCCAGGGCCAACCCTGGGAGCAGAGGGCTCCAGAGGTGGGGTGCAGGGGAAGGTTTTGTGCCTGGGCAGTACCTGTCCATCTTGGGGTCCAGGGTGTGGTCCCAGGAAGCGCACGGCTGGGGCAGCACAGTTGGGGTGCCGCCGTACAGTGACGCTCTGCTGGTCTTTCCCTCTGCCCCGTCCTTGCCTGCAGCCTCGGCCTTCATCATCGCCATGCTCCTGGCCAGCCTCAACAGCTGCTGCAACCCCTGGATCTATCTGCTGTTCACTGGCCATCTCTTCCACGAACTGGTACAGCGCTTCCTCTGCTGCTCCCAAGGCTATGTGACGAGCGGCCGGCAGGCTGAGACAAGCGTCAGCAAGAAGAGCAACTCGTCCACCTTCGTGCTCAGCCGCCGCAGCTCCAGCCAGCAGAGTGGCTCACAGCCCGCCACAGTGTGACCAGTGTGACCATTGGCCTGGCCCGGGGCTGCCCTGGGGGCTCCCAGGGTATGCGGGCAGGGACAGGCTGCCCCTTGGGGCCGCATGTACATATGCTGTAAGGTATCTGTTGGTTTGTATGTTCTGCACACCTGGGATGGCTTCAGTGGGTGAGGGAGGAGGTCCCTGGTAGAGATGACAGGGCACTCAGCCACCAGACATTCCCCGGCTCCCACGTGTACTTCAGTTGCTCCTGACCCCATGGCCACTAAGGGTGGTGGGAGGGATTTTTTCCTCCCTTAACTTGGGACTTCACTGTTCACTCTTTCAGGCTGGCATCTTGCCATGGTGGCTGCTTGGGTCGGAAGGGGTCCCATGTTCCATGCTTGGGGTGAGGAGTTGAAAGGGGGTTCCAGATGGAGTTGTGGGGGGAAGCGATGCCAATATTGTCATGACCCCAGAGTGCGTTTGTCTTTGCCAGCAGCCTTGAGGGTCAGCCGGTGCGAAGGTAGCCCCAGCCTCTGTGAGTACCCAGGGCACTGTTATGGGAGTGAGAGAGTGTTGCTGACAAATGTTCTAGAAGCATTTGGGGCAGAGAAAGAAAGGAGAGGCCTCCAGATGGGGAAGGTGCAAGGAAGGCGTCTGTAGGCAAATGTGGCTTTGTATGTAACAAATCCTTAGGGGTATTCATGTGTGCACGTGTGTACACACACAGTCCTCCCTGTCAGCACTCCCCCTCACACGCACACACACACACACACAGTCCTCCCTGTCAGCACTCCCCTCACACACACACACACACACACACACACACACACACACACACACACACACACACACACACACACACACACACACACACACACATGCACATTCACCCAGCATGGTTGCAGGATGCAAATCCAACTGCAAAAACCCATGGTGTTTCTTCTCACTAGCCGTGAGCAAGGCAGAAGTGGAATTCAGAGCCAGCCAGTTGAAACCAACATCAGAAAGAGTAGAGATGAATGTCACCAAGGAATGCTACAAAACAGAAGCAAATGACAACATCCACAAGTGGGCATGCGTGCTGTGCTCCGGGGCCTGACGCTGAGCCCAGTCGGCTGGCAGTGCCGTCTGAGGGCACGTGGGCAGGCGTGCTGTGCTCCGGGGCCTGACGCTGAGCCCATTCAGCTGGCAGTGCCGTCTGAGGGCCCGGAAGGCTCACTACAGTCCTTAGATTCCTAGAGGTGGGAGGAGCTTTTACTGGGGAGAAATCGTTAAACTGATCTAGAATTTGTAAGAAAATGCTAGGGACCCAGAATAACCAAATCACCTTGAAGAAATAAAAACACAGTTGGGATCAGGAATTGCACTTTCTTAACCTGAAGTTGCTCTGTAGCTACAGGCACCAAAATGGGGTGTCAGTGGCCTGGAGTGAGAGCCGCGGAGCGTCGGCACAGACCAGGAGTCCAGCTGCAGGCCTCCCCTCTTGCACCATGGGTCCGCAGTAAGAGAGCCCTGGCAGCTCATTAGGCAAAGCTTGGCCTGGGCACGAAGGGTGCTAGGACAGATGGGTCCAAGCAGGACAGCAAAGTTGGGTCTTTGCCTGCCTCCCACCACTCACAAGAATTAGAATCATCAAAGGCCCAAATGTGAGAGCTACAGCTGTGGAACTCCTGGGTGGGGGTACCGAGGCGTAAACCTGCACGATCTGGGCATAGGCCTTGCTTTCTTAGGACACTGAAGATGCAGGCAAGCAAAGGAAAAACACCTAACCTGGACTTTGCAGGCATTTAAAACCTGTGGTTCAAAGTGAAAAAGAGAATTTAAAGAATGAAGGAAAAGAAGTGAGAAGCACATCTCTTATTGGGTGTTTGAATGCAGAATGGACGGAGAGCCGAGCACGACCACACACAGGAAAGGACGGCCATTCAAAGCGAAGGGGTCAAGCAGGCGCTTCTCCACTGAGGAGCGAGACCGGCTGGTGAGCTCAGGAAAGCTGCTGGCCGCCAGGACTCGGCTTGGAAACGCATATCACTACTGCAACAAGATGTTCCTTCATAGCTCCTGGCCGCAGCCAGAAAGACGGAAGTGAGTAAGTGGGCAGGATGAGGTACTGGAATCTTCTTGGCCATTCCTCAGGGGTCAGCACAGAGCTCCCGGGTGGCACTCAGGTGCCACTCCAGGGTATCTACCCAGGGAGAAGCAGAGACACAAGCAGCCTGCACCCCAGTACTCATGGCACCGTTTCTAAGAACTGCCTTCAAGTGCAACCATGCCAAGCACCCATCAGCCAATGGAAGACAGAGCACCGACACCATAAGCACTCAGCTGTAGAGGCCGTGAGACGTTGATCCGTGCTGGCGCATAGATGGGCCGGAAATGCTTCATAGGAAGTGAAGAAGGTGTTTGGGGAAAGTCCCCGCATATAGGAAATGTCCAGAACAGGTGACTGGAGACAGAGCAGTGATGGACATGGTGGCCCTGTGGCCAGAGGCCGGAGAAGTGGGCCGTGACTGGTGAGGGTGTGGGTTGTGCAACTGGAATCAGTCAAGCATGATTTAGGGAATTCACTGAAAAGCCTTTGCAAATTGGCCAGCAGCAGGCCAGCATAACGGGTGGATTCAGAGTCTCTCAGCTCCCTGGGACTGTCTTTGTGCACAAGGCACTCCTCGTGTCAGTCAGAGACAGCTCTGGTGAGGCCCTGTAGCCACAGACCAGCACTTCCCGCAGAGATCTCCAAGTTCTTATCTGATTAACACAGTCTCCACACCCTGACAGATGAGGGTAGGACACGACCTTGCCTGAGAAATGCCTCTAGTCCTGCGCAAGGCACTGGGGGCTCGGTGCTGTCCAGGACCCCTTTAGGCCTTTGTGTTTGCAGACGATTCTGGGCTTCGGCGCAGCAAGAGGCCCTCTCCAAGGGAAGCCACACAACTGTTCTCGCTTACTCTCACGTGCTGCTCTTGTACCACAGAGCAGCACACGTGTGCGAACACACTCTGGATCAGGCTAGCGTGTTTTGGCTGTCTGGGGAGAACAGAGGCATGCATGGAAACTTTCATGTCCGTGGTCTGAGGGTTTAGTCCCAGGTCTGCAGTCCTTGCTGGCAGGTACAGGCTCAGGCAGAGGACCGTGAGGCTGTGACAGGTGCAGCATCTGTACTGGCCAGTGCTTGCTCTTTGGGGAGCTAGCAGAATGTTGACTTGGGGATGCTGGGCCCATGGCCTGAACCTGTGGGCTGCCCTGTTGTACCAGTGTGGTCCTGGGCCCGCTGGCATCTGGGCCTTGCTACTCCCTGCAGGAATGTCCCAGGCTGTTGCTGTGCCCAGGGAAGCTGCCATCTCACAGCCAGCAGTGGCTGCTCAGGCCACGGCAGTCAGGCCCTCCTGAGGACCCTGGGCTTGTGAGGGTCCTGGCCTTGGGGCCAGGGAAGTGTTTCCTCTGTGTCTTGGTGTGAGAGCTTGGGCTGGGATGTTGGCCATGAGGACACAGGAGTCTGTTGGACGGCGAGCCGGTGACGTCTGATTTTGACAGTGTGCCTGGATCTGCACTTCCCTCGATCTCATCCCCTGGGATATTTTTGTCATTTCTTAGTCTTTCCCAAAGCCTAGAAGAATGGGAGCAGGGGTCCTGCTGCTCCTGGGAGCTCATGGCCTCTGTCCCCGTTCTCACAGAGCTGGACGTGGTTTCAAAGTGCTTAACCATGTTTTGTAATTGGAAGTGCTGTCTAACACACAAATGTGAATTCCTCGGTTGTGTTCTCCCATGGTGATGTCCTATGGTGCTGTGCTGATTGGTGAGTGCTGCGGCCCCTCACGAGGTCTTTGTCCTGGACTGCTTCCCAACAGGTGCACTGAATAAACACTGTTTTTCTATCTGCCCTGCCTGTGGTCTTCCTCTCAGGGACAGGCAGTGGTGCATCTGGTGGCTGGACGGGCTGCTGATTTCCCTGCCTGCAGGTGGCAGAGGGGCCTGGCATACCTGCAGCTGGGGCAGGAGGGGGCCCAGTCCCACTCCACAGTCCCAGGTACACCAGTCGCTAGGGAAAGATGCTCTAAGACCTGGGTGCAAACCTCTTGGGTGATGTCCCCAAATGTGCGATGTGTGAGTCTGACCCTAGAAAGAGTAGGATTGGAGACTGTCATCCCCAAAGGGACCCTAATAGACCCTTCTTAAGTCACGACTGGGGGCTACCAACAGAATCCCCAAGAATTTGTGCTAAAATGCAGGTTGCTAGCTGGCCATGCCCTCCTCCCCCAGTTGACCATCCTCTTACCTGCTGCTCCTCAGGGAAGCCCTGGAGGGCCCAGGAGGGCTGGGACATACAGGTAGCTCAATGGAGCACCTGCCAGGGTCAGCCCCTCAGGAAAGCACGAGAAGGGCTGGTGTCAGGGTCTGGGGTGATTGCAGCAAACACCACGGGGGTCAGAGTCTGTGCAGCCCAGGAGTTCGGGTGTAAAAAACAACTGCCCAGCAATTTCCACAAGGCTGGCTGACCCTCTGGGAGGGCAGAGGTGACTCCAGCCTTGGGCTTCTCAGCAGGAGGTGCCTGGACTTGAGGAGTTCACATAAGCATGTGGAGTTCCAGGAGCGAGAGCGCAGAACAGCAGGCAAGAACCACTGTGCCCATGTCGGCTGTGCAGCCTTGGGGCACCTGGTCAACCTTCTGAGACTAATATCAGCTTATATGCAGAGACAGGGTGGCATGACCAAGGGCCTATGGGTGAGTAAGTTAATGTCTGCCGTTGGACATTCCTGGCTGGTGGTGGAACTGTCAATAGTGGGTGGAGGGTGGATGAGCAAATGGACCCATAGAGGTCGGTGAGCGAGGAAAGGGCGGGCAATGTTTTGGGCGGAGGCTCCAGGGTGCTCCCTGCAGACTCTTCCTGGGGGAACCTTCTAGAGCTGACACGGACATTGGAGATCATCTCGTGGGTGAGGTAGCTGAGGTCAGAGGCGGGACTAGCACGGAGGCTGTGAATGTCCCCACATCCCACGTGTGTCTTACCCCACCAAGCTCCCTCATGCAGGTTGCCTGTGTGGTGAGAGGAGGCCTGGGGAAACTGCCGAGGGCTGTGCCCCTTGCTGTGTGCGAGGCTGGGGCATTGGTCTCGTGAGAAGGAAACAGAAGATCAGCTGGGAATGGGGGTTCTGGCCTGAGGGGCGGGGGTGGTCTTTGCTGCAGGACTTGTCAGAGCCTTTAGTATGTGATGTCTGTGGAAGAGGCAGTGTTTCCAAACAGTGGACACACAGCGCCTCCCTGGGAGCAAGCGTGGCTGGTCCTGGGTCTGCACAGAAGCTGCTGGGCTTCGGGAGTTGGGTTTGTGTGGGGGCAAGAGGTGGGCCCCCGTTCCCTTCTGTTCATGCCCACAGCACCTCCATCCCGGCCCACCGTGCCTGTTGGGAACCTCATGCCTTCAGCACAGCCAGGGTACACGGGGTCTCAGGAGCCACGGGGCAGATGCAGAGGGATGTAACCCCTGGCCCTGTCCTCGGGGTAAGGACTAAGGCTTGGCCAGCCCTGCCAGCCCGAGGCCCAGTCATCTGGCAGCCATCTCCGAGGAACCGCAGGCCACAGGCCCAGCCAACCAGCGGAATCCTGGGCCGTGCGGATCTGGTCCTCGGATTTCACCCAGCCCATTCCCGGCTAGCTCTCCCCAGCAGACATGTCCGTGTGGTCAGGACACCCTGCATTCTGTCACTCACACACCAACACGCACATACGGGCACAAGTACGTTCATGCGCATGCAGACATGTGCGACACAGAGGTGTCCTGACACACATGCATCACTTGTGTGCACACACGTGTGAACACATACGTCCCCACCAACCTTGCCGACAAGCACACATGGTATTCCCTTATTGCGGCTGAAGACCTTTATTGCTGCTGCCCTCTCACTGGCAGTCACCAGTGGCTTTCCTGGCACGCGTGGGCAGGCTGCCCCTGAGGAAGCCTGGGCTGCTTGGGATCATCACAGTGCAAGCGGACACAAAGACTTGCAGTAGCTGCCTCTTAACCAAGACCGCCCGGCTGCCTGGGGCGTGAGGGTGGAGTGAGGAGGGAGGGCTGGGCTGTCTGTTCTCCCCGGCTTCCCTGCACAAGGTGTCCCTGTCGTAGGTGAGAGGGAGCAGTCCCTGCAGAGAAGGGGGGCAGGAAGGGGACGCGGGGCGGGGCTGGGTCCCCGCCTGCCTCAACCCTCCTTCCGCAACAGGACCTTCACGCTGCTGCACATCTGGCCCAGCGCGGCGAAGAGCGGGTTACAGAAAGTGCGGATGCAGAGCGAGTAGATGTGGCTGATGCATTGGATCTCGATCAGGTAACTCTTGATGCACGGCACCACCGCCCAGATGTGGCAGAAGGAGATACAAGCGAACAGGAAGCCCCAGAGCAGGGCCAGCGGGACTCCCAGCAGCGTGGACAGCAGCCGATAGCACCAGTACTTGGAGACGGTGAAGGTGGTGTAGCTCACCTTCCATACCCCATCAAAGCTGTAGGTGCCCACGGGCTCTGCAATCACATCTTCGAAATCCACCTGCAGAGGTAGGAAGCAAGACCTTAGCCCTGGGCAGCAAGGCCCATGCAGACCTGGCCACACCCCAAGAGCTGTAACACTCCCTCACAGCCACACACCCAGGGATTCTGACCCGGGGGCTTCTGTGGGGTTCAGGAGCCTGCACTGCTAGGCCACGTCCTGCTTGTGATGGTTGGAAAAGGCCCAGGTCAGGAAGGTCTCTTTAGGTTTACAAAATGGGAGCGGCTGGCATCTGCCACATCCAGTTTCCTGCAGCAGGGGAGGGACACAAGCCTGGAGCTGCCCTGTCCTCAGAGCTTCCAGGCCCAAGAAGCCGGCCACTGTGGGCCTGGAGACTCCCAACCCTGACCTCTGCAGCCCTCACACTTACTGAGTTCTGTGCACACCCCAGGGCCTGGCTCCTGCTGGCTGCTGGCTGCCAACTCCTGGGCTCTGCAGACTGCCTTACCCTGTGAGGCCCATGACAGGACCCCTTCCTGAGCCCTCCCGGGCTGGCCTCAGGGACCTGTCAGCCCTGGAACTGCACAGTTGACCCAGCCCTACCTCCTCACCTTGCAGCTGGGCACACAGCTCCGGTGGGCTCATGGGTCATGCTGGCTGGCTCGGACTGTCCGGGATGGGGGTAGCCCCCTCCTCTGCTAGCCCTCCCCCTGCACGGGTCAGCAGTTTGTTCTCTTGCCCTGTCTTCCTCCATTCCCCCCACTTGGTGGGCCGTGCCCAGGCGCTGACATCAGTGCTGCCACCCCTGTGGCTACCTATTATCTGGGCTCCCTGGAGCAAGGCACTTAGCTCTCCTAAGCGTCAATTTCCAGAGAAGCTGTCCGGGGATGAAATGAGTGAAGGAGAATTGCTGGGAACAGCGTGTGGCCTGAGGGCCTGGTCAGTGGCTGCTTGTTGCCACTGCTGGTGGAGATGGACGGAGCTGGACGCCCAGAGGCGGTTGTGAGCACCAGCGCAGTTGGGGACCTGGTGACAGAGTCTGCAGAGCCTTCAGCTCCTCTGAGCTTCATCTCCTGACCTGTAAAATGGGGTGAGATTTCTTATAACCTCGTTGGGAAGAATGGAGAGGATGCTTCTCCCATCCACGCCTCCATGTAGCCATGCCCATTGGTCTATCCACCTACCCTTCTGTTTATCCACCTGTTCATGTGCCCGCTCATCTACTCATCTGTCACCCTAACGCCCATGCTGGGTCTGTCTACCCATCCACCCAGCCCTCTTATCATTTATCTATCTGTCTATCTATCTATCTATCTATCTATCTATCTATCTATCTATCATCTATCTTTCTCTCCACCTACTCACCTACACATGCATCCATCCGTTCTGATTACTCACAGAGGACCCACTGGGTGCCAGGCACAGCCTCTCCTGGGAGCCTGCAGCACATTCCCTGGCACCTGGCAGGTGCTCAATAGCAAGAAGTAGCTGAAATCCAGTCCTTCTCCAGGTGCCCCAGAACAGACATGTGTAGGTGTGGCTCCCCAGGGGAGCTGCCACATCCTCCTGTCCCTCATTTTCTGCCTGTGGGGGCACTCCCGCTGCAAGGACCTCTCTGCTGTGTCTTTTAATTGCTGATTTTTCTCGGAATCCCTTGGCGCGGACATCTGAATGATTTCCAGGGATCACTGTTGAGTGCTGTGCCGGGCAACCGCTGTGTTTTCTGTGAATCGGAGCACGTAGGCGGGAGGTGGGGGAGTGCGTGCTGGGCCAGGGGCGGGGGTGGGCAGCTGTTCCACTGGCAGGCTCTGAGGGTGGAGTGTACTCTAGCTGAGGTGTTCTAGCTTGGAGAGGTATTTAGGAGGCCCAGGCCGCCATGCCAGGGTGCCGGAAGCATGTGGTGACGTTATTCCTCAGTACCTTTTTCCTGAGTTGTGGGGGCTGCACCCACTGCCTGACCCGTGGGCTTGGTGTGCAGCTGGGGAGTGGGGTGGACGTGGCCAGGGAGGGCTGTTGTTGCTCATGTCGCTGGAACCCAGACTCCCAATCTGGCTTGTTTATTTTTGGAACAGCAGGAGAAAGTTGATTCATATGCACCAGCCAGTGTGCCCCCACGGTCCCAGGAAAGCAGGGCCGGGTGTGGCCTGAGGGTGCGAGGGAGGCCAGCAGTTACCCCTGACACAGACCCAGTGCCCTGTGAGTGTCTGTCCTGCAGCAGACTGGCCCTGGACAACGCAGACATGGGGCATCTTGGGGTGGGGTGGAAGTAGTTCCAGCAAGGGTGAGCATTTGGGCTCAGCTTCCAGCTGGCCATTGAAGCGTGGAACTTTCCTTCAGAATTGTTGAGATCTTCCTCCTGCCAACCCCAATACAGAGTTGGGTCCAGGTCTCCTAGGGACACACAGGCCTACTTGGCAGAGACCCAGTTCCTGCACCTGTTACCTGGCTTCTCACACAGTAGACTATGTTCACTGCTCCCCAGCACCCCCAACAGGTGGGTTCAGGAACTGAGGGGAGGCATTCAGAAATGGTAGGAGTTGAATGCCTACAGTGATTTTATCTTATCAAACCCCGGTCACCATATAAAATTGTTTCTATCTGCACATCCACTTGTCAGGACACTGCTTCCAGGATTAACTGGACATAACAAAACTCGATCAGTCTGAGAGGACCCTGCAACTTGCATGATGCACGGGGTCCTCATAGTGCCCCTCTGGCCATGTGCCTGCACCTGCTTCTCTGCATGGCATAGCAGGAGCAGGCAGGGTGATGCCCAGTTAGCCTGATGGCACAGCCCACACTAGACCCCCAGACCCTCCCTGCTCTGGGCCATGGCCTAGTGCACAGGGGAGGAGGCTGGGCCTGGTCTGCTGCTCCTGGGGGCCTGGGCATCTGGGCTGTGCACACAGGGACCTGTGTTCATGTAAAGAGCTGGGAACAGTGGGAGGAGAGAGGAGGCTGCAGGGCAGGAGGACAGAACCTGCTGGAAGAACTCCGGAGTCCCACAGTGTGTTGCTTACCCCCCACACCTGGCCTCCTCCCTGCAGTCCCTGCTCTGCCTCTCAGCAGACTCACAGGTGGGAAGGGGAAGGGATGGTGCAAGAGGTGTGTAGAAGGAAGACCCCGCAGGTCCAGCCTCTCGGGGCTCGTGAACTCTGGAGCCGCATCCCACGTGGGATCTAGGCTTGCTGTAGGTCTGCTGGAGGAGTGCACGTGTGGTTGAGGAAGGAACTGCTGTGTAGAAGGTGCTGGCCTCAGGCCCATCTCCCTGCCTTTTGTGGCGAGAGGACCCAGACCCACACTGTGTGACACTCTGGTGTCCAGCAGGGCTGCTTTGGGGCTTGGCCGAGCCTGCCCTGAGCCCCTCAGAGGACCTGGGGTGACGTTGGAGTCCTGAGGAATGCGTGGGAGAGGGGAGTGGGCCTTTATGGCTTGGGTATGATGACAGTGCTGAGTCAGGCCCCTCCCTGTGGCTCACAGCATCTCCTCGGGGGTGACACAGAGCAGGGATGTCTGTGTGTGTGTGTTGGGAGGATGGTCCAGGCTTCCTTCCTTCATCTGTTCTCAGACCCTGCCTCCAGCTGAGCTCTGTCGCACCTGCTGATGGCGGTGGTGAGGTACCGCCCCTGCTCCACTGTCCGGGCAGAAGAGCCTGGCACGAGCTCAGGTGTGTTGCATGAAACCCAGGGTGGTGCCCCTAGCAGAAAATGTGCTCAGTGACACTTTATGTCTGGTGTTTGTCACCTGCAGGTTTGATGCCCATGGCAGTGCTTCCTACAGCACTCTAATGCCCCGGAGACTTTCATCAGTAGGAAAGGGAATGAAAATATGAGGGCTTTGGGAGTGAAAAAAATGAAAGGCCATGAATATTCAAAAGTTCCTGGCAAATGCTTCTTATGGAAAAAAAGATGTAGGCATGTATTCCAATATGTTATTTTTACTTACATCAAGATACGTTTATCTTTCAATTGCATTTTCCATGAACTCTTTGAATAGATTTCCCTCACCCCATTACTGATGGTTTCTATGGAAACAACCTATAGTACAGTGTGAGCTGTGACATGAGTGTACTGTGTGAAGGGGCAGCAAGAAGTAGCGGCAACTGACCGCCTGGAGGAGGTGGCCAGGTTCCCTGAAGGAGCTGGTGAGGGTTGGGCCATGAAAGCTGAGTGGGGCATCCACCATGTGCTGGAACTCCTTCTAGGTGACCCCTTCCCAGCGAGGGCATGGGCTATGTCCTGCTGGGAGGGGGTTCGTTGCCAGAGCAAGCCTGGCAGAGTGTGAGGCCTCCCCCAGGAGCACTGTCACCCAGGGGTGTCAGCCCAGCCATGGGGTCCCAGGAAATGTGGGCCCATGCAAAGCATTTTAATTCCATTGCCTTTGAATTTGATGTTCTAGTCTTTGATTAAGGTATAGGATATTTACAGCCATTTGAACCACCCCTTAACATGGAACCCACACACTGCTGACAGCAGTCGGGAGGCCACAGCCCTGGGGTCTGACCGAAAGGAAGGGCTGTGTGTACAGCAGGTCACTGGAGCTGTGCTACGGTACGTGTGGAAGACAGGATGTGGGATGGACGGGACGAAAGCTGTCCCAAGCAGTAATTACACCTGTTTGTTTCTCCCTTACTCAACGTGTGGTCCCATGTCACAGGTCACACTGGGCCTCCATGAACTGAGGTTGTGGTGGACCCTGTAGAACCCAGGGCCCCTGGCCATGTCTGAAGGGGGCTCTGCAGCCCCCTCAAAGAGCCCTCTGGCTACAGGGCGGGAAGCAGGATGGGGGGTGTGGATTTGGGGTCATCAGCCAGGAAAGAGGCCCTACTTCAAGATATGGGGTGAGGGTTGGGACTCCCTGGCGGCTGCATAGCAACCTTAATACTTCCTTCCAGTGACCCAGTGCTCTCTGTGCCTGGCCCTGGGGTGAGCAGGGGTGCTGGAGGAGGGGCTGGGCATGGCTCTTTGGGGGACTGTGAGTGTCCCACTACAGAGACCGTAGAAATGGCCCCTGGCCTGGGAGAGGACCCAGTGTGGCCGTTGGTCACTGTTCCTCCTGGGCTGTCGGCCAGCAGCAAGCAGCAGAGGCTCTGGTCATGAGGTCGCCTGCCGGCCACACTTGGCCACATCTACGCGGCAGGTTCCACTGTTGCCTGCAGTTTGGGGACTGGAGCTGTCATTTAGCATCTGAGGGCAGATCTGGGGAGGCCGTGGGGCCTACCTTAACAATGTCCTCATTGATGTTCTTGGGGTCCCGGTTCACCAGGTCGATCTCCTTGAAGTGGATGTCCTTGACCATCTGGGCCTCCAGGTCTGTGTGCTCCTCGGTCATCATAGTGGTGCTGGGGGGCCCAAGAGGGCCACTCGGAGCCGTGGGGCCGGCGGGGCGGCAGCCCTGGGGGCAGAGACCAGCTCAGGGTCCCCGCCTGGAGCCCCCACCAGCTAAATAGGCCCCACCCTGGGCGCCGGCTGACAGCTGCCCCACATAACTTAGCCCTTGCTCGCGGGAGCCGCCCGTGGCAGGCCTCCAAGCTAAAATTAAGACTGGAGCGTCCTGGAGGGCCGGGCTTGCCTTAAAGGGGGCGGCGGCTGGCACCTGGGAGGCAGCTTTCCCCCTGTGTTGCCTGCACAGGGGGCTGGAGGAGGGGTTTGGAGCATGCTCCACTGCAAGCTGTCGGGGGCTCCTCCAGGGGTACGAGGGAGCGTTGCCCTGCCAGCTCTCCCTTTCACCCACCTGCCTGGTGACCCTAGACACCCTTGGCCTGTGGGTGTCTGTGATTTGGAGGAGTCCAGCCCTGAACTCAGGCAGGAAGTTGGTCCGAAGGAAGGGACTAGAGAAAAGACGGATCTCTATGCTACATTGTGAGAAGAGCCCGGTCCATCAGCTTTGGGACCTGGGGGCCAGCCATGTTCCCTCTTGGGTCCTCCATAGGTGATACATTTTGCTGTGTTGGTTCGCTTACAGCGTTGCACTCACACATATGTGGGAAAGCCTAGCAGGGCACCAGCAGGAACAGGTGGCCCTGACACACAAGGTGTGCAGAATATGCTGGAAGACTGTGCCAAGAGGCTATAGGCAGGGAGGGAGGGCATCCCTGTGTGCCTGGGGATTTAGGAAGGATGCCACATTCTGACTTCACAGACACTTTGGGGTTGCTGTCTCCCTTGGTGGGAGAAGGGGGAAGCTTTGTAGATGGCATGCACAGGGTGATTTGTCCTAAGACAAGACTCAAGGCCCTGGGGCCTGGGACTTGGGGAGTGGCACACCCGGGCTGCCAGCATGCCCAGCACTCCCACCAGGTGAGGGTGATGAGCACAGAGGGAGCTGCTTCTGAGTCCCCCACGTCTGCCCTGGTCAGGCGATACCTGGGACTTGCTGGGGCTCTGCACTTGAAGGGGTAGGGTATGGGGTGTGGGGTGGAGGAGAGAAATCCGGCCGGTGAGTGAGTGGCATGTGGCTTGGCCTCCCCCAGGGCCTGGTGCAGAAAGTAGCTCCAAAGGGGGCCAAGTTTTCCCTGGAGGTGATTGGCTGCTCCCTGGGGCCGAAAGGTGGAGGTGTCTGGGAGGGGTGGGGCATTGGCAGTCTGTTGGGTGGGATGGGGCCTGTTTTAGGGAAACATTGGAAAGTGACTGCGAACTTTGCCATGGTGAAAGCAAACTTGGCTTCAGGCTTCAGCTCTAAACGGGCGGCTGTGGACCAGGCTCTTGGCTCTCCCTACCACTCCTGAACATGTGCGGGTCCCTGGTCCCGGGCCCTGGGGGTTCCCTGTGCTTCCTGCCTGCTGGCCCATGAGCATCTGGGTCCCACTGCAGCTGCAATAGCCACATCCATGCCCCATGCCCATGGCCCCTACACATTTTCACACCCTCCCCTCCCCAGGAAAGGCAGGTCTGTGGTGGTGCTTCTCTGAAGCAAGTAGGGATGGGGAGTCTGCAATGCTCAGCTCCTGACTCAAACTGTCCTGCATTCTGAAGTCCCGAGCTGCAGGACCAAGGAGGCCAGGACCTTGCCCTGGGGTGCACAGCTAAGTGCCCTCAGAGTCAGTGCCGGCAGCAGGGGGATGGGGGAGTGCAAGAACACACCCCTGTGCTTGGAGCTGCGGGAAGACACAGGCCAATGTGGTACAAACAGCGAAGCGCATCTGCCCAGCCCAGGAGCCAGTCCTGGTTCGCAGACAAGTGCTCCTTACTCTTAAGTTGCACACGATTACATTTCATTGATAAATGTTTCACACATTTCACACCCAGGTTAAACATTATGACAGTTAATATTCCACATTTTCAGGGAATGGGCTATCCACAAACGTATTTTTAAACAAGTTTTGTTATGCTCATCACAGGAGATAAACTGGGTTGTGGCCAGTCTGACAGGGCCGGCGTTTCCTGGGTGGGAGCCAGGAGGTGCTTCAGCGGCCCCCTACGAGGGTGCAGGGTCCACTTGAACCATCCACCACTGCTTTCCCAGCACGTTGACAAGGAGCAGCCAGGACTTGAACTAACACCCATATGGAATGCTGGAGGCTTGAACTGCTACCCCACAGTGAGCTGAGCTTTGGGGTCTTAAGGCAGTGAGAGATCAGGCTGTTGTCTGCTAGTACCGTGAGTGGCCCTAGGGACTGAGCGGCAGGCCTGGGTGGGGTCCATGGCGTCCACTCTCATGTGCGTGGGACGCAGGGCACCCATGCTCCTAGGCTGTGGCCAGGAAGAGGCCTCAGAGTGGGGAGCTGAGGCATGGGCCAGCAGGTGTCCAGGGTTAAACTTAAAGATAATCCTAACAGCATCTAAACCCGGCGGTCCCCAGGTGTTGGCTGTTGGGAACGGTTTTACGGAAAATTGGTGAGGAAAATTGCCTGAATGCCTGCTGCATTCAGGCAGTGCCAGAGAAACGTGAGGGGTGGCGGTGTCCGCATTTTGCAGGTCCCAAGTAAAAGGCGTGGTCTGGTTGAAAGTGGAGGAGTTTGCTGGGTTCCCGCGGGCCTCAGGTACTTTCCACCTATTGATTGCCAAGGAGTGTGGTCAGCTGGATCCAGGTGGGCAGGAATGGGTGTGAGGGGCTTTGGCAGGGTAGAGGACTGGGAGCTGGGACTGGGGTAAAGGGGGGCCTCATGGTCCGCCTCTGCCACCACCCAGGATTGGGTGGGCTCCTGTGATGACTGCCTGAAAATCAAAGCCAAACTGGGCTTCCCGGACGGACCTCTGCCACAGCCTGCGGTGGGGGACAGGCCCGGGGTGGGGCAGCCAGGGGCCTGCTCTGGCCTCCGCTCCTGCTTCCTGTTTCCTGCCACGCGGCCAGGTGTGCTGCTGGACGCGCTGTCCTCCCAGAGTGCACTTGAGGGTGGACTTCCCACTCTGCAGTCGTAAAGAATGCATGGTCCGCCGTGACTGAGGCCAGTAGCAGGCCGCGTGGGTGCCTGCCTGCACCGGCATGCCTGACTCCCCACTGCTGGAGTAGCCTGTCCGGTGGAGCCTCCCACATCCCCACCCTGGGGCCTCTGAGGCGTGTGTGCAACACTGCCCCTAGAGGCCTGCAGCAGAATCACACTGGCGGCTCCTGGGGAAGCCCCGGAGGTGTTCCGGGTTGTGGGGTTTGTGCTTCCGCTGGTTTCTCTCAGAGGGAAATGAGGCTGAAGCTGGGGAGGGAATGGTTTGTAGCCCCCAGGTGCACATCCAGGTGCAGACCCTGGGCTCCTGGCTCCGAGTCTTGGGGTGGGCTTGGGCCGTCTGTCCCTGGCTTTCCCTGCTCTTCATCCTCTATCCTCGACTCCATGGATGTCTAGGGACTTCCAGGCGCTAGGAAGCTGTCCCTGACCCTCCAGGTGACGGACACCAGCCAGAGTGGGGCTTTCTCCTCTGAGTGTGGGGCACCAGGCCATTCGAGCTCACCTGCGTGCCTGCCACCCCCCAACTCACACCTCCGTTCCAACCCTTTACCTTGGCCAGCTGAGGCGTGGAGCTTTGGGACAGCCCTGCACTACGGTGTCCCCAGCAGCCGCGTGCTGACTGCCAGCCCTGAATTCCCAGCTCCCAGGATCAGCTACCCACTTCTTTGTTCACCAGGTACTTTACATTACGACAAGACGGGCTGACTGCCAAGTAAAACCCTCGGCGGTGGAGGCAGTGGCTCAGGCAGCCTGGACACAGCCCTCCTGCAAGCCACTCTGGAAGTGAGTGGGTGAGCCAGTGCTGCAGGGGGTTCTGGGAGATGTTCAGCTCACCTCCAAAGGAGTTTGTCCCTGGTGCTGGAGCCTGTCCCACCTTGTAGCCGGGCAGCTATGGCTGGTCAGCAAAGCCCTGAGGAGGGTGGCAGCCAACTGGGGTGTGTGTGTGTGTGTCCCGTCCCTGAACTCCCAGCTGCTTTTGGGGGGCAGCTAAAATTCAGATGGCTGCCCTGCTGGCTGGGGTGTCACACCATTTCCATTCAGTGCAGCCTCACTGAGATTGCATCCCCCCGACCACGCCGGCAGCTGCAGGGGGCTGGCCCCTTCTGCCATCTCTCCCTGCGCAGCAGGAATATCATCTTTCCCCCTTGGTTTGGTGCGTAACCATTTCCCTGTGCCCTGGCGTGCCCTTCCGCTCTGAGACCCCTGGGTCCGGGCTCCTCGGAGTCAGCTGTGTTGGTTCTTGGGCCACACCTGTGTTCCTACCCCCTGCCCTGCCAAGTGATCCCGGTGCGAGTTCCAGGAGAGACTCCCTCCCTGCACAGGGCGAGATTCCTGCTGAGCAAGTGTAGCCAGCCCCACTTCTAAATCCCCACAGAACCCACGCTTAGGCTCATCGTGCCGGGACTCCGGTTCCATCTGCTCCTTGGAAACAAAGCAACCTCTCAGCATGGCCAACACCTCTGGACCCCAGCGTCTTCTCCCTGCTTCCTGGGTGTCCCAGAGTAGGTCTCAGGTGCTACATCCCTTGTCACCTGTACAGCCAGGACTGTGGGATGTCTTTTGAACTTCTGATGGGGCCTTGCTTTCTCTACCCAACCCTCACTCTGAACAGACCTCTGGATGCCACAGGCTGATCTTCTGTTGGGGATAAGGTTGGGGACATGGTGCAGGGGCTGCTGGGAAAGCCGACCTTGGCAGTCTTGCAGAGCCTCCCTCCCGCAGCCCTGAACGGGAGGGATGAGGGCAGAGCATGGCCGAGCCCACAGGGTACGTTGTTCTGACTTTGAACTCCTTGGGATCCACGTGTCTCATGACCGGAATCTCAGCCTTGAGACACGTGCCTTGGCAAGGAGGAGGCAAGAGGAATGAGAACCCCAGCTGCTGATGCCTGGTCCTCTCCCCCGGGGGGCTGCCCATCTCTCCTCCCCAGGGACCCCTGAATCTGCAGAGTTCCCACACTGAACTCTGTTTCTCTGGCAGGGGCAGCATTGATTTAAACTTTCACTTTCTGAGATCTTCTTTGTTG